AAAAATGGTCCACAAAACATTCTCCTTTCCTTCTGAAGGTTTTACGATGCATTGTTATCATTAACCAGTCTTTTACTATTAAACTTAAATGGCCAATTAACACACACAGTTCTGAGACGGTTCTTCCACCACTGATTAAGACTGGGGTGGCAGGTATTGGGGATAATATTCATTTAGCCTTCTGAGCTTTCTGGGCAGACTTGGTGACCTTGCCAGCTCCAGCTGCCTTTTTGTCCACTGCTTTGATGACACCCTCAGCAACCATCTGTCTGTCTCATGTCACGAACAGCAAAACGGCCCAGAGGAGGAGAGTCAGAGAAGCTCTCAACACACACAGGCTTGCCAGGAACCATATCAACAATGGCAGCATCACCAGATTTCAAGAACTTGGGACCATCTTCCAGCTTTTTTCCAGAATAACGATCTATCTTCTCCTTCAGCTCAGCAAACTTGCAAGCAATGTGAGCCGTGACAATCCAGCACAGGTGCATATCCAGCACTGATTTGGCCTGAATGGTTCAGGATAATCACCTGAGCCGTGAGGCCAGCTGCTTCCATGGGTGGGTCATTTTTGCTGTCACCAGCCACACTGCCACGACGAACATCTTTGACAGATACGTTCTTGACACTGAAGCCCACATTATCCCCAGGAAGAGCCTCACTCAAAGCTTCATGGTGCATTTCAACAGACTTTACTTCAGTTGTAACACTGACTGGAGCAAAGGTGACCACCATGCCAGGTTTAAGAACACCAGTCTCGACTCGGCCCACAGGGACAGTACCAGTACCACCAATTTTGTAGACGTCCTGGAGAGGCAGACGCAAGGGCTTGTCAGCTGGACGAGTTGGTGGCAGGATGCCATCCAGAGCGTCAAGCAGTGTGGTTCCTGGCATTCCCATCTTTACGGGTGACTTTCCATCCCTTGAACCGAGGCATGTTAGCACTTGGCTCCAGCAGGTTGTCACCATTCCAACCAGAAACTGGCACAAATGCTACTATGTCGGGTTGTAGCCCATTTTCTTAATGGAGGTGCTGACTTCCTTAACGATTTCCTCCTGTCTCTTCTGGCTGTAGGGTGGCTCAGTGGAGTCCATCTTGTTAACACCAACAGTTAGTTGTTTTACAGCCAGCGTGTAAGCCAGAAGGGCACGCTCACGGGTCTGCCCGTTCTTGGAGACACCGGCTTCAAACTCACCAACACCAGCAGCAACAATCAGGACGGCACGGTCAGCCTGAGATGTGCCTGTGATCATGTTTTTGATAAAGTCTCTGTGTCCTGGGGCATCAGTGATGGTCACGTAATACTCGCTGGTCTCGAATGTCCACAGGGAGATATCAACGGTGATACCACGTTCACGTTCAGCTTTCAGATCATCCAAGACCCAGGCACACTTGAAGGAGCCCTTTCCCATCTCAGCAGCCTCCTTCTCAAATTTTTAGATAGCTCCTTTGTCTTTCCCACCACATCTGTAGGTCAGACGACCAGCAGTGGTGGACTTGCCCGAATCTACGGGTCCAGTGACGACGATGTTGATGTGAGTCTTTTCCTTTCCCATTTTGGTTTAGGTTGAGCAGTGGTTTTCACGACACCTGTGTTCTGGCGGCAAACCGTTGCGAAAAAGCCATCCTCCACTTTCTTTTCCCTGTCACACATTCTGAGAATTTGTGATCTTCCACCAACTCTACAACTTACCCTCACTGGCAAGTTACCAAAACTTCATTCTCAAAGGTTACCAATTATTTCCTTATTGACAAATCCAAATGCCTTGTCTCAGTCCTCACTTTTATTTCTTTGTAGAACAGTTCCATTGCCAACCTCCTGCATTTTAAAATGCTCTCCTTATTTTCCCATGACTTTTAAGATATGGACCATCCTTGGCTTACCATCTAATTTCCTTTGCTCTCCTGATAAATGGATTTATCTCATCCAAGGACACAATTTTCCCTCACTCAGCAATTTAACTCAGAGCATCCCAAAGGGTCTTGCTCTGACCAGTCTCCTTATATCATATGTCCCAGAAATCAGCTCCCAGGCAAATTTTCCTAACACAGCCACAGTTGCAAATTTCTCTCCACTAAAATCATCAATATCATCTACCCTCACCCTCATCCACCTAATAAAACAAAGCTCTCCACTAGAGCTCTGCCCTCTCACCTACCTACTCTTCTCTCCCACTGTGCTAAGATATATAGCCAAACTTTGCCATTTCCTTTTCCTCAAAGTTCATAATTTATTACCTCTATGCTTTTGCCCCTTCTAGCATAACATACCCCAGATCTTACCAACAGATTAAGGCCCATTAAATATCACCTTTTATTTTAAATTTTGACTAATCCTCATTAAAGGTATATTGCATTTTCAAGGGTTTTACAATACGGTTTCTAATGTGTTTGTGGCTGGTACTGTTATCATCTGCACACTTACCTGAAACAAGTACTTGTAAGAAGCCCAGCACAAGGCTTTGCTGAGAGTCAACATTTACCTGACAGTTATTCTAAGGTAAATTGTACAGTGTGCCAAATCATGTCTCATATTTCAAAAATAACCTTCAATATATTAAAAATTAAATTTAAATGCTATCCCCTAAAAATTGCTCTAACTACTAATACCAAGCGAGCATCATCAGTATGCAGTAAACTAGGTTGTATTAAACAAAGGAGAAAAATAAAACTAGCACCACAAAGGAATCACTAAGTAGCCAGATGTAACAATTACAGTTCAGATCTTTTGTAAAAGGCAATTTTTCTCAAAAAGCTCACATGGTAAAAGTTTTATATCAGCCTTATTAGAGAAAGAGCCAGTAACAGAATCAGTATTCTAACATCACAGCTATCCACCACCCCCACCTAGTGGGCACCAGTTGCTATTACCTAACAGGAAAAAGGCTGAGAACTAACCAGGTAAACACTAAAGGCAGGATGAGATTTCTCACTTTATAAAAGCGTAATAATCACAGAGCTGAGATTTTTGACTGTAACAAATAAAATCAAACTTTTAGCTATCAAACTGATGATGAAAAGACCTAAATGTAACAGCTAAAACTGTAGGTTTCTTTAGATCTGACACCATGCATAAACCATCAAGCAACCTATCAACTGTTTTGGCTATCTGTAGGATCTGTAACAATGTCCCTCTTCCACTCTTGACATTATTTGTTCTTTCTTTTTCTCTTGCTTACTTGCAGCACGATTTGAATAGCCTTATTGATCTTTTCTGAGAACGATTTCTGACACTGCTAAACACCTGGCTCCTGTATATTTTCCACATCATTAATTTTCGCTCTTAATTATTTCATTCTTTCCTCAGGTTTAATTTGCTATTATTTTTCCAATCTCTTGAGAAAGATGTGTGCATCACTGATTTTTCAGTCCTTCTTCTTTCCTAACATACACATTTAAAGATAGAAATTTCCCTCTGGGCATAGCTTCAGCTGAATCCAACAAAATTTAACATTCTTGTACTTTATCATTCATTTCATAATTATTCAGTTCCAAGGATTTTCTATTTCCATTGTAATTTCTTCTTTGACCCATGGATTACCTGGCAATATATTTCTTAATTTTCAAACATACACGGATTATCTGGTAATCTTGTTGTTATTGACTTCTAGCATAATTGCACTGGTCAGAAAAAATACTCAGCATGGGGTAATTAGCAACTCAAAACTGATATAATTTAGCTTCTTATATAGATGACCTAAAGGGATATGTTATGTTAACCAGAAGATTTGATCCCTTATAGAAGACCTATTTCTCAAATTAATCTGGTTAATTTATTAATTCATATTTTCTTTCTCAAAAAATCAGTTTCCATTGCCCTATCAAACTCTGGCCGCGGACAAAATCAACCTGCAGGATAGAAGAGCTAAAGTTCAGAATCTGAACCACTTTAAATTCACCAAACTAAAATATTGCTGAGGGACCCCATTCAGACAGCCAGTAAGCCCATCTTCCCCAGAGATGTTCATTTTGCAATGTCTCTTAATTTTCAGAACACAAGGGACACAGCAAACATTAACAAAGTTAATACATAAGGCACACCTAAACACCCAGATAACAAAGAAATATAAGTCAAACGATCAAAAAGTTGGACATCAAAGAATTAATTTACTTAGACCAATTCAGCAAATAGAAAACTACATTTAAATAATCTGTGCAAGTTATTTAATACTTGAAAGTCTCTTTTTCAAATACTGTTTAAATCTCTGATAAAACTTAAAATCAAGTGAAGTAGGAGTTCATAACCAAAAATTAACTTACCATCCTCTTGTGAGGAAGGATACGGATAAATGTGGTGGGAAGCCTTTGACTTCTCATCAGTGAAAGTCCCCTGGAAAGCAAATGAACAATATAAGGGTAAAGCACATGGCAAACAGACTATGCAATGCCAGATGGAAACTGCCAGAGAATCATAAAGGCATTACTTTATGTATTATGTACTATCTACCCATCTCTCTCTCTATATATATATATATATATATTTATCAAGACTATATTTTTATTTTTAGTAAAGAAAAAGAATTATTAACAAGGAAAAATAAAAACACATAAATTATCTATAGACAGTTTATATTGTTGTAGAGAAAAATAACGCAAGTACCTCTTAGCTAATTCTCTATGTATCTCTCTAAGAAACCTTGTCTGTAATGTGAGTATTTCTAATTCTAAAAGTTACTCCAAAGTAATCAGAAATTATCACAATTATCTGAAGTGAGTCAATGCAGGTTTATGTCCATGAGCCATAACTTATGGTTACATGCATACAGGACGGACATTTTACTTGGCTCTAGGATGTATGTATGCCACTGTTGTTTAAAGTCAATGTTAGGGGGTGCCTGGGTGGCTCAATCATTAAGCGTTTTCCTTCGACTCAGGTCATGATCCCAGAGTCCTGGGATCGAGCCCCACATCGGACTCCCTGCTCAGCAGGAGGCCTGCTTCTCCCTCTCCCACTCCCCCTGCTTGTGTTCCCTCTCCCGCTGTCTCTCTCTCTGTCAAATAAATAAATCTTTAAAAATAAATAAAGAAAGTCAATGTTAGAATACTGGATGACATAAACATTAAGGTTAAGGTCTAGCTAGGTCACAGCTAGACTACTGCATACAATCTGGAATATGACTTGGAAGCCTTTTTTTTTTTTAAAGATTTTACTGGGGTGTCTGGGTGGCTCAGTCGTTAAGCATCTGCCTTCGGCTCAGTTCATGATCCCAGGGTCCTGGGATCAAGCCCCGCATCAGGCTCCCTGCTCTGCGGGAAGCCTGCTTCTCCCTCTCCCACTCCCCCGGCTTGTGTTCCCTCTCTGGCTGTCTCTCTCTAATAAATAAAATCTTAAAAAAAAAAAAAAATCTTCATTTGAGACAGGGAGAACACACAAGAGGGGGGAGGGAGAGGGACAAGTGGACTCTGTGCTGAGCGTAGAGCTGGACACGGGGCTCAATCCCAAGCCCCCAAGATCATGACCCAAGCCAAAATCGAGTCAGACGCTTAATAACTGAGCCACACAGGCACCCCTATTAATGCATGTTAAATGCCTGAACAAAGGCCTAATCATCAGTATTCAATAATATCACTAGCTTACTGTCTCTTCCCTACGAGTCTATGAAACTAGGAAGATCCTTATGTCCCTCTAGAGGTTAACCCCAGAAGACAATCGCTAAGCCAGACTCTTAAGAAAAATGAGAACTAAATGTTCAGTATCAACTGTAGGAAAATATATAAGCTTCTTCCAGGATTAACGTGGTAGCAGTAAGAGTAGGTAATTTCAGCTTGAAGGTAATACCCAGCAGGTTAATTTGTTCCGTTTCTGCCTTCTAACATTCTACATGTAATTATACTACACTTGACAGCCACTCCAATAAGCAGTCCAGAAGAGAAAAGAAGGTTAAGTGGTTCAAAGTCAAAATGCTGGTGGGACGAGGAAATGGACTTGGGACTGCCTGATCCGAAAGCACAATTATATTATCTTTCTCTTTGGTAGGGACGCTGTATGTAAGAAAAGGACTATACTAAATCTCCAAATGTAAACAGTATTAGAAATCCTTATTTTAGGAACTTGGAAGATATTTTACTAATTACTGAAATATGATACAACTGGCAATCTCTCTTGCAGAAGGAAAAAAGATATTTCAGAAGGATTCTCAACTTAATTCTAAGGATTAGTAAAACTTTGTCACTCAAATGATGTTGTTTCAGAAAATTATCTTCTACCGGGGTCTCCTCAGCTAGTTTACCATGATACAGGGTTACTTACAGTTCAGCCACATGTAGCCACAAACCTACATGTAGTAAATACCCAAGGTCCCAGCCTAAAACGGGGTTAGAGGAGGGAGGGAAACACGTCTGAAGAGAACACTGGCACCTCTGAATCAAAACAATGTAAGCTTATGGGGAAAACAGAATTTCCCAGTCCACATATATAAATATAATAGGTATCACTGTGGTGGCGGGGGTGAGGAAAGACAGGTTTACTTGAAACAATATTTGATCTCCTCTTACTAACAACTATGCCATCAACTTCTACTTTGACTTTGTGATTACAGTGATACAGACCACATGGTCTCCTTAAATTACATAAGCCCAGGGGCACCTGGGTGGCTCAGTCCATTAGGCATCCAACTCTTGATTTCGGGTAAGGTCATGATCTCAGGGTCTTATCGGGCTCTGCACTCAGCAGGGAGTCTGCCTGAGATTCTCTGTCCCTCTCCCTCTGCCCCTGCAGCCTACACTAACTCATGCACTTGTTCTCTTTCTCTCTCTTTAATAAATAAGTCTAGGGGAGCCTGAGTGGCTCAGTCGGTTAAGCATCTGCCTTCAGCTCAGGTCATGATCTCAGGGTCCTGGATCAAGTCCCATATCAGACTCCTTGCTCAGCGGGGAGTCTGCTAGTCCCTCCCCCATACTCATGCTCACTCTCTCCTCTCCTCTCTCTCAAATAAATCTAATAAATAAAATCTTTAAAAAATTTTTTTAAATAAAATTAATCTTTAAAAAAGAAATAAATTGCATAACCATATTTCACAGTAAGACTACAGTTACTCCATACCAATGACTATTAAATGCTAATTTTGGATACATATTTGCATCAAACCACCATACTGTACACCTTAAACTTACACAATGTTAGGTGTCAATTATATCTCAACAATGCTAAGGGGGAAAATGCTTCTAGGAAAAGAACTGGAGGTGAATGAAGAGAAAAAACTTGGTACTGTAAGAACCCAAAGAGAGAGAACTTTCATTCGACGCAGATATATACAGAAACTAAAAGATACTATGATTGAGATTTATAAACTTACTATTACACAATTTTCTGAACTGATCATGTTTATTACCTGATGTCGTTTGATAATATCTTTTAATTTGTTAGCCAACTTCAGATCAATGTCTGGAATGAGGTAGATGTTGGGTCTGGTCAGACAGTTGCTCTGGGGAAGAAAAAACAGATTTTGAAATTCTCTTGGTTTTGAAATGATGTCACATTATTAATGAATTACCCTAATGGCCAAAGTTGACATTCAAAGCCATAGTGCTTAAAATGGGAAGATGTTTTTTAGTATAGACTACAGAAGTCTCATCTCAGTATAAAGCCTAGGTGTTCAGCAGGCCACTTAATGCCATCCCCAGATCCCTTCTCTGCAGCTAAGTACACCTGGACAAAAAATGTTCAGAATCACAACCTAAAGAAATTCATCATATTTTTCATTAAGGTACCACATTGACATATTGATACTTCTATAGCCAATCTTACCTGAATTGACCTTAACAGTCCAAATCTAACATAATATTTCCACCTACACCTTTTATTGGCAAGGGGGGGGAACCCCCCGAAGTGGATCCCAGGGGAATGCCCATTCTGGTTCATTATGTAAGTTACTTATAGCTCTTTTTCCCATTTGTAAACTTACAAATAGCAATGATTAAAACACGCATATTAACTCCTAAAATCAGTGAACCAACAAAAAAAAATTGTTTCTCTAGCTAGCAGCTCATGAGACAAGTTTCAGGCATCAAGTTAATGATAATACCTAGTTGAATCTTTGCCAGCTGCCCCCCCCTAGGAAGGCTAATTCAGTAATCATTAAAAATTACCAATCAATAAAAATACTAGGAAAGAAAAGAAGAATACTAAGTGTTCTCTCTTCCAGGTTATATCCAGTTGGGGAAATAAGACCTATATTTGTGGTACAACCCTGAAACAAATCCAAAAAAAAAAAACAAGAGAGACTATATAAATGAGTGACCAGCAGATTGAGAGTGTTTACATTAAATATGAAAGAGATTCAAATAACAGATTAGGTGAAATAAAGAAAGAAAATATCAGGGCATCTGGGTGGCTCAGTCAGTTAAGCATCTGACTCTTAATTTCAGCTCAGTCATGATCTTAGGGTCATGAGATCGAGCCCTGTTAGATTCTCTCCCTCTCCCTCTGCCCCTTCCCCCACCCTCTCTCTCTCTAAAAAAAAGAAAGAAAATATCATAGATTATTTCACCAGAAGTTTAGGATCAGTATTTTATAAATGACAAGTTTTAGTTATACTTTATAGCTCTAATCCCCCAAAACCCATAAAAATATAGATTTCAGAAAATTTTTCTTCCTTTGATCTTTCTGCAGTCCAATAAAGCCAATCTTAAAACTGAAAATATATTAAAGGGAAAATTTTTTTAGTAATTTAACTTTCTGAGTTACCTGCACCAATGTTTTTTCAATGTTCATAAACATTTCAACATTCCGATCCATTCGGGATGGATTCTGTAGATCAAATCTACGCCTAAAGGGAAGAAAATCATTACTTAGTCTTCTACCTTAAACAAAAGTGAAAACTTAGTCTTAGCACTCAACACAAAAGAATTCCAAAGATGTGAAAATTAAAACAGCGCTCTACAAAACATGAAGGTATTTTCTCAGTATAAGAAAGCAGTGTCAAAATCTTCGTAAAACATTAAACATTATGACATTAAGATCCACTCCAGTCAAAATGAAGTACCAATTCCATGAGGTATCCTGTTTTTCTTAAGTCTAAAATACTTTACAACATATAAAGAAGGAGTCCACAGATCCAAAGGCAGTGAACTATTATACCACTCTTCAAGTATAAGGAAAGTTTATCTACTTTCTATAAGCTTACAAGTCATTTGTTCAAATTCAGTGTCTGTGTTCTCTTTGAGCCTACTATTGTCCTAAATCTGGTAAATTTGTCTATTTACCTTTTCTCTCTCCCCATGTCTTTTTATTTAAGTACACAAGCCTAACATTCTAATGTTGTCTGCCTATTCGCACCCACTTCCATATGACTAAATCTTAACAAATTTGAATGCTTCTTTCTCCATATCTTTTATTCAACACTTACTTTGATTTTGCTCCATTTTAATTCCAGGGAAAGTATAGCTCAGTGATTGAGAGTGTGGGCTGTGGAGTCAAACTGTTCTGGGTTCTAATCCTGACCCCATTTTTATTTATGCAGTCTGGAGTGATTTACTAAATCCAAGGATCAATTTCTTCGTGAGTACAATGGCCCATTACAGGTTTTTGTGAAGGTCAAATGAAATATATATGTTAAGGGCTTAACACCGTGTTTATGCCTAGTCTGTAAGTGATCAATAAATGTTAACTATGGTCATGTTTATTTGTTTTCTGGTTTTTTTAAGATTTTATTTATTTATTTGACAGAGAAAGACACAGCGAGAGAGGGAACACAAGCAGGGGGAGTGTGAGAGGGAGAAGCAGGCTTCCGGCAGAGCAGGGAGCCTGATGCGGGGCCCAATCCCAGGACCCTGGGATCATGACCTGAGCCGAAGGCAGACGCTTAACAACTGAGCCACCCAGGCGCCCCTGTTTTCTGGGTTTTTAAAAAAGATTTATTCACTTTGAGAGAAAGAGAGAGCAAGGAGAGGGGCAGAGGGAGAGGGAAAGAAATAAAGAACCCTCAAAGAGATTCCCCACTGAGCACAGAGCTCGATGCAGGGCTCAAGCCCAGGACCCTGAGATCATGACCTGAGCCAAAATCAAGAATCAGCCACTTCACCAACTGAGCCATGCCCCTATGGTTATGTTTTTAAATCATTACTACCAAGTGCTAGCTAGGATTAGGCAGTCGGAATCCAGAGCTTATGCTCTACCTCTCAGGTTGTCCTGTTTTAACCTGGAGATGCTCCCCACACCTCCAACCGTTCTTCCAAACTCTGCAGCCTTTCCTGTATGTCACTACCTACTCTGTGGGCTTGATCCTATCGCCTCCAGGGTCTGCCACAAGCCACTTCCCCTATGAAGCTACTCCTGTCTTCCGTCATGCTCCTAATACAGCCTGTGCACACTGCTGTTAAAGCCCCAAAACAGAATCATCTTGTTGGTAAGACATCTCATTAGACGTCTTGGGGGCAAAAAACAGGTTTTTTTGAAAACTATCCTATATAGCCCTAGTGGCTAACAGAATGTGTGGCTTTAGGGACACCTGGGTGGCTCAGCCAGTTAAACGTCCAACTCATATTTCAGCTCATGTCATGAGCTCAAGGTCGTGAGATTGAGCCCTGTGTCAGGCTCTGTGCTGGGCATGGAGCCTGTTTAAGATTCTTCTCTCTCTCTCCCTCTCCCTCTGCCCCTCCTCACATCTCTCTAAAAAAAAAAAAAAAAGAAAGAAAAAAAAAGAATGTGTGGCGTTATAAAGCAAACCACTCAGGAAATTAGTATTATGACTGAGATCCAATTTGGAAATTAAGGAGTGTCCACTAAAGGACAAAAATAGGTAATCTGGAAAGGAACTAGTTACAGCTTCAAAAATGGCATTTACATGTAAGAGGGACCTTTGTCCCAAGTGACCGTATCTTGATTTAACCTTGGTACCCAGAACTTATCCTTAAATCCCATTTTTTGGATTGTTTAGTATCTTCCTTTCCTAACTTCTTCTGAGGAAGGGGTAGGTCAGAAATTCCAAACAATTTCCATTAACTGGCACAACAACAGAATAACACGTGACTGACTGAGACAACCCTATTAGAGCAGACAGGTTTCCACTGGTTCTTTCAGCACAATACAAGGAGAGCCATGTGAGTGTCTCCCCTTTCTAAAAGAAGGGGTCACACTCTTGGAGCGCCTGGGTGTCTCAGTCCTTAAGCGTCTGCCTTCGGCTCAGGTCATGATCCCAGAGTCCTGGGATCGAGCCCCGCATCGGGCTCCCTGCTCAGCAGGAGGCCTGCTTCTCCCTCTCCCACTCCCCCTGCTTGTGGTTCCCTCTCTCGCTGTGTCTCTGTCAAATAAAAAAAATCTTAGGAAAAAAAAGGGGGGAGGAGTCACTCTTTCACAGGCTTCTGGTAACAAAAGAACTATATCCAGAAATGTCTCACTTCAGAATTGCTTACATAAGCCTTTACTCATATTATTCATAGAGAAACCGCTTCCTTGGTAAATGATTCAGATGAGGCTGAAGGGAATTATCACTCGCAGAAATCTGAGAAATAGTTTGAAAGTAGTCATTAAACAAATTAAAACAGGGTTGCCTGGATTTACCTGCAAATGAAGATGAAAAGCTAAATGAATCTGGTACCAGAAAAAGAAAATTAAGAATTTATTCCGCCTTTCTGATTATTGATGAGTTAAATTTCTCAGTATTCCAGCTAATAAATGAAGTAGGAATGACAGAGTAACAGTCTTTTACAAAGAATTACCTAAAAAACAATAAGCACCTCAATCTATATATTAGAATTACCTACTTTCTTTTTTTTTTAAAGATTTTATTTATTTATTTGAGAGAGAGAGAATGAGAGACAGCACGAGAGGGAAGAGGGTCAGAGGGAGAAGCAGACTCCCTGCTGAGCAGGGAGCATGATGTGGGACTCGATCCCGGGACTCCAGGATCATGACCTGAGCCGAAGGCAGTTGCTTAACCAACTGAGCCACCCAGGCGCCCTAGAATTACCTACTTTCTAATTTTTTTCAAAATTTGAACACTACAGCTTGGTAAAGTTGTAATGATAGCATGATTCTAGGCACTGAACATCAACATCGCTGTATTACAAGCAGAAACAACCAGACATTGTACGACTCCAGAGGGAAGAACACAACACTGTCTATTAAGTACTGTTGACAAAAAAAAAAAAAAACAAAGCTGAATCAGACTAAGCCTCTAGATCTAACTACCACTTTACTAGAAATTTAGAAGACTATGCTAAACAATATCCTAAGGAACATATTAGCAAAATCTAGAACACAGAAAATTCTACAAGACAACTTGCTTTTGTAAAAAATAACTTGTGAGGATAAGAGGGGGAAGAGAGTGCAAGGAGGAAAACTATTAATTCCTTTTTTTTTAAAGTGGGAGGGCCAGAGAGAGAATCTTTTTTTTTTTAAAGATTTTATTTATTTAGTTGAGAGAAAGAGAATGAGAGATAGAGAGCACGAGAGGGAAGAGGGTCAGAGGGAGAAGCAGACTCCCTGCTGAGCAGAGAGCCCGATGTGGGACTCGATCCCGGGACTCCAGGATCATGACCTCAGCCGAAGGCAGTCACTCAACCAACTGAGCCACCCAGGCGCCCCAGAGAGAGAATCTTAAGCAGGCTCCATGATCTCATAACCCTGAGATCATGACCTGAGTTGAAATCAAGAGCTGGAATCTTAACCTATTAACCCACCCAGGTGTCCCAATTTCCTAAAAGAGACTTAGACATGTCAACCAAATGCCACGTATGAATCTTCTTTAAAAATACAAATGTAAAAAGTATTAATTAATATAAAAACCATCCATGAAATAATCAGGGAAGCTTGAACACTAAGTGGGTATTTAGTAACAATGAAAAATTATTGATAATTCTCTTAGTTGTGATAATGGCACTGTTATAATGCTTTTTAAAAAAATCCTATGCTGGGGAGCCTCGCTGGCTCAGTCAGTTAGGTGCCTAACTCTGGATCTCAGCTGAGGTCTTGATCTCAGGGTCATGAGTTCAAGCACCACGTTGGGCTCCACAATGGGCGTGCAGCCTGCATATGAAAAATAAATAAATAAATAAAAAGCTTTTCAGTGGCGCCTGGCTGGCTCAGTCGGTAGAGCATGCAACTCTTGATCTCAGGGTAGTGAGTTCGAGCCCCATCTTGGGCACAGAGATTACCTAAAAAAAAAAAATCTCATGAGGCACCTGGATGGCTCAGTTAGTTAAGCGTCCAACTTGATATCAGCTCAGATCATGATCTCAGGGTTGTGAGATGGAGCCCTGCATCCCTCAGGAGTCTCTCTCTGCCTCTCCCCCTCCCCCCCAAAAAAATCCTATGCTTTTAAAAAAATTTAGAAACAAACAGATGAAATTATATAAAGTTGAAGGTGCATGAAGGTAAATGGCAATTCATATTATTCTCTCTGCTTTTATATTTTCCATAATAAACTAAAATGGTTTGCCAAACAATGATTTAATAATACAACAGACTAAAGCTTTTTCCTGATTCAGCAATATGCTATGTAAGCAAAAAAAAGTATTTAAAATATATGCCTATTATGAAAAACTGAAACGGGGCGCCTGGGTGGCTCTGTCAGTTAAGCGTTGGACTCTTGATTTAAGCTGAGGTGGTGATCTCAGGGTCATGAGATCAAGGGTGGTCAGGCTCTGCTTGAGGTTCTCTCTCTCCCTCTCCTTTTGCCCCTCCTCCCCCACTCATGCTCTAAATTTTTAAAAAGCTTTAAAAAGAAAAACTGAAATAAAACTCAGGTAAATATAGTATAACCTCAAGTTGAAAGATTTAATCTGACTTATTTTGAAATTACCACGAGTATTTAAGTAAGTTTTACTTTATACAATATAGAAAAATGCTCAAACCTACACACAATAGAAATCAAATTAAAACTATAATTATAAAGCCTTTTTGAATCTTAACGTAGCCCTATAGAAGAGACAACAAATGAACATGTAACTCTCTGGCTTTTAAAACCTTTGCTCATTTAAAATGTAGATATGAGCTCTTCATTGAGGGCTTACTAATTAATGAGTCTTCTGCTTTGTTTCCCTCTGGCAATCTGCCTGGCAATGTCTCAGGGCAGCCTTTCAATCCAAGGCAATACTGTCTGTCAAAAGGGCCTTCATTAGCTTTACTGCTCCAAGTTTGTGCCTCTCGTGACTACTGTTAGGGATGTTCTCTTCTCATCTTCAGCTACGTACAGAAAATATAGTCTGAATAAAAATAATCAACAAAGGATCCTGGAGAATGAGTTTAATTCCTTGGTAAGTAGCTTCAGAAGCAAACTTAGAAAAGGCTAGACAAAACGCACTGAGCTAGGAATAAGGCCAAAGGCAGACAAGAGTATAGCAGAACAGTTGTGTGGGAAGTGATGGAAGTCGGCCTCAAGAGTAAGGGGCTTTGTCTAATAATGGCAAGCTACAAAAGCATGGAGACTATCAACAGAAGGATGGTCCCGTATACCACAATCCAAAAGGGGGGCAAATAGCCTACAGATAAACAGCTTGAAATAGGCAGGCATATATGCAGGGAGGGAGGTCTACTACATAGAAGTAGACAACAAATCCTGCTTAGGTACGTGACTTCGGGGATAATTAAAGTGGTTTGGATCCTTGCTATATTATTTTTAAAAAATTTAAAAGCTAGATGGCTGTTTTAAAATATGCTATAAAAGTGGATAATTCTTCACAAGTTAAAAGATCTAAACCATGTTTGTGCGAGAACGACAAACTCACTGACCAGCATTTCTCAAAGTAAGGCCTGATGACCATTTAGAGTGCTTTTTGAAAATGCAGATTTTCAGTTTTCACACCACACTTAGTAGTTAACAATGTATGTCCACGAAGCCCAGTAACCTACATTTTTTTTTTTAAGATTTTATTTATTTATTTGAGAGAGAGAGAATGAGATAGAGAGCACGAGAGGGAAGAGGGTCAGAGGGAGAAGCAGACTCCCCGCTGAGCAGGGAGCCCGATGTGGGACTCGATCCCGGGACTCCAGGATCATGACCTGAGCCGAAGGCAGTCGCTTAACCAACTGAGCCACCCAGGCGCCCAGTAACCTACATTTTTAAAGGTATTCCAAGTGGGGGCAACTGGGTGGCTCTGTCAGTTAAGGGCCTGCCTTCAACTCAGGTCATGATCCCAGGGTCCTGGGATCAAGAGCCCCGCATTGGGCTCCCTGCTCAGTGGGGAGCCTGCTTCTTCCTCTCCCTCTGCCATTCCCCCTGCTTGTGCTCACTGGCTCTCTCTGTCAGATAAATAAATAAAATCTCAAAAAAAAAAAAGTATTCCAAGTGATTCCTAAAGTTTGAAAGCCACTGCCCGAGACTTATTGTGGTAATATCTAAAAAACAAAAATCAAGAGCACCTGGGTGGCTCAGTTGGTTAAGCGACTGCCTTTGGCTCAGGTCATGATTCCGGAGTCCCGGGATCCAGTCCCACATTGGGCTCCCTGCTCGGCGGGAAGTCTGCTTCTCCCTCTGACCCTCTTCCCTCTCGTGCTCTCTCTCTCATTCTCTCTCTCTCAAATAAATAAATAAAATCTTAAAAACAAAACAAAACAAAACAAAAATCAAAAGGAGACTCTGAAGGCAGGGAATAAAAGTTGAACCACCAAGTCTGAAGGTAGAAAGAAAAGTAGGTCTGAGCTTATCTGGAAGAAATAAATGTCAGCAGCAAATCGTGTCAAAGGGAAAAATAAAAGGCCACTTCTCACGTTAAGACAAATCCCAAACTTTATGTTAACTAAGCCTAGTTCATCACTGCCAAACAAAACTAATAAAACACAATATTTTCAATCAACAAAATCTTTAAAAGGCATGAAATATGATTACATTACACAGTAATCTGTGTAGAACTGTAAGAATAAATAGAATTCTAATCACTCTGCAAGAGGACACTGACATTTACTGAGTTGAATTTGGTTGTATTTAGTCTCTCCTCCTTCAGGAAATGTTTTTAGATTCCCATAGGATGTCAAAATCCCCCTGGTTTGGTATCCCTCAGTTATATACAACTATACATGAAATTAGCCCAAAATTTTATCCTTTAATGAAAACCTACAAATAAGGTTTTCTGACTATTTAGAGACATCCAGAAAGATCATATTCAAACACTCTGGAATCTTAATCTGTACTGTCTGTTGAATGTTCCCACTGAACCTCAAAAATGATACTCCAGTTTGGCATCACTGAAAGCTAAAAGAAAGCAGGAAGTAAGAAAGAACCAAAGAGAAACAAGAGAAAAAAAGAATGTTTGGCCACTTAGAAGGAAACGAGCAAACTTTGGAGCTAGACCGTGACGTTAACTGGAGAACACAAACGAGGTTCAGAGGGGTATGCTGGGCGTGGGGAAAGTTGGAGGCACCATCAAGACGACAGGCCACTATTCAGACGTCTGAATGGGTGGGTGGTCACTAAAATATGCACGGTCAGAGTGTAAGTGATCCACTTGCTGCAAGTGTGTATATCTCAGGAGGGGAAGTGTGCACTGCAACTAAGTGTCTAATGACACCAAAAGGGGATGATTCTGGTACAGTGTGAGTAAAAGACTTGGAAAAATTCTTATTCCTCACTCTTAAAGTCTCCCACTTTAATCTTTACTTCTTTCTTGGCCTCCCTTTTAATTTAAAAACATCTTCTTTTACATATCCTTCTAAACCCTTTCACCTAAAAATATTCCATTGTACTGGCACACAAAGCAATTTCCAGAACAGGTCACTAAGGAGAAGTCATCTCACTTTGAGACTGTCCTCTTGAGTCCAGGTCAGGATTTAGGACACAAACTGAACAAGAAACTAAGAAGAGAGTTCCATGTGGGAATCTAGAGCTAACAGTAGGGTACGAATCATATCTGAGAGTAGTCAGACAGGCTGTCAATCCTAGCTCAGGGAATACCCTATAAGTGTCACACCACCACAGCCTGAAGCAGAGTGCAAAACAGCAAGTCACCTCTGGTGACAACACACTTGTGCTCATTGCATCAATTAACCAATATCTATTAAACACCCACCCATACATTAAAAGTTCAGCAAATACACAAAGTCTGTATCACTTGCTATTCACTGTAAATAAATCATTTACTCATAAACTTGTCCTATGTATCAATGTGAGTACTTATTTGCATTTCCCAGCCATATTTTGAAGTACCCAAATTACTAAGTATTCTCCTAGAAAGATGCTAAGACTGAACTGCACATAGACAACACAACTAAAACCTCGAAATGACTTCCATTCCCTCCAGCACCCCTTCAAGCCCTGCCTGTGAGGTGACTCCCCACTATCCTTGAACTCTGGAACCGTCACCATGAAACACTCACTCGTCTCAGCAGCTGACCTTCCCACACAGAGATGGCAGAAACCCCAGAGTTCAAGAGGGAAAGCGCCAAGAGAGACAGGGTGAGAAAAGGGAAAGAGAAGAGTGAAGGGAAAATGCACCACTGCAAGAACAACAGCAGTGATTCTACTCCTAGCTGCACCGCTGCCCAAGTAATGGTCTGTGCTCCTGAGCTGGATTCCTCTCGTCTGTGTCCTCAGGACAACACACTAGACAGCTCTCGTTCTGAAGGCCTGGCTCACGGAATAATTAAGCTGCTATATTTCAGCAGAACATTAAGTTCAAAATACACATTTATATATTTCACAGTGAGCCTACCTTCTAACTTGCTAACAATACACACTCACCCATTATCTAGGTACAACCATATATGAGAAATAACTTGCATTGTTCGGTATTTTTCCTGGATGTAGGTACAAAGTAAACTAGAAAACCAGACAAAACTTTCACTTGGCACATTAATTATAATGTGCTTTTAGAATTCTCTAACACCATACAAAGAAGGAAGAGGATTTAACATTAAATAACTTAAATACCACGTCAAAACATACAAACACAAAAACTTACCATCCCTGTTCATTTTTATACTTGTAAGCAGCCCCAAGAATGTGACACAAGGTGCCTCCAGCTTTGAAATCCATGAAACATTTTGCCTAAAAATGATACAAGTTACACATGAGAAAAATAAAAGTTCTGACAAAATTAGTCATGTCTCAATTCAAAGTTTTATAAACTCAAAAGTTATCAACTGCTAGCTTAATCTTAAATACTTCCTGGAACCAAATAAGGTGTAAGGAAATTTTTCCAAAAGTGAATTAAAAATTTTTTTAATTCAATTAATGTATTACTCTTTTTAGTAAACAGTCTCTTAAAAACAAGATTTACAAAAGATAAATCAAAATGTTTCAGCAGGAAATATTAATGGACAGAAAATACTGATATACTACAAACTGCTGATAAATTTAAAATGTGATTTTTAAAATATTTAAAATTCAAGTAAAACACAATTTCCAACCATATGATTTTCCTGTAGAGTAAGAAATATTAGTATACATTAGACTTTTTCCCAATTGAGATCCCTGACTTTAAATTATGCAAAAATCATAACCGAACTCCTGCGATATTTTAATGACCATGAAACACAGTGTAAATTATATGTAAAATTATAGCTAAAATCTGTACAACAATTTGAAAGAGATGTGCATGCACTTTATGGCTTATAAAAGTCATGCTCAAATAAACGCTGAATGACTTACACATTATGGAAGTAAAAGTTTCATATAAACTCATCATCAAATAAGCTAATAAGATGGAAGTATTAGAAATACAGCATGCATTTTTTTCCTTGAAAATGATTCTTACAAAGTAATATAATGAAAAGAACTGCATGATGCCAAAGGCAAAAAACAGAACAGTGGTTGCTAAGGGTTGGGGAGAGAGTGGAGAGTTAAGGTTTAATGAGTACAGAGTTACAATTTGGGAAAATGATAAAAGTTCTGGAGATGGATGGCAGTAACAGTTGGTCTACAATGTGAATATACTAATGCCACTGAACTACACACCTAAAGATGATTAAAATATTTTACTACAATGAAAAATAACATTTTTAAAAATAAAAAATACTAAGAAAATCATTAAGATGAGCTCTTCCAAAATAAGCTAACAAGTGAGCCTTCCAAGTCATTCTGGTTATCCTGTTGCTTTTTAAATACATAGAATTGTGTGGCGCCTGGGTGGCTCAGTCGTTAAGCGCCTGCCTTCGGCTCAGGTCATGATCCCAGGGTCCTGGGATCGAGCCCGGCATCGGGCTCCCTGCTACGCGGGAAGCCTGCTTCTCCCTCTCCCACTCCCCCTGCTTGTGTTCCCTCTCTC